CATATATATGTGTGTGTATGTATATGTGTGTGTGTGTGTATATATATATATATTAACTTGTATACACTTTATATATAACTGATATTTTGTAGCAAATTTCTAGAAAGTGAAGATTGTTTTCTTGAACACACAGGATGGAAAAGGTGCTTTATTCACAAATGTTTTGAGAATTCAAATTTTTTGTTGTGCTCAAGTTTCATTCAGAAACGGCTACTTGCATGCTGTCTAAAAATATTGCCCATATGCTAATGTATTTTTGCCTTTTTCATAGGTTACCAACTGTGTGATAACAGCGTAGGCGTTCTGTTCAATGATTCCACGCGTTTGGTGATGTACGCTGATGGTGACAGTCTGCAATATATTGACCGCAACTCGGTAGAATCCTACCTCAGTGTTCGTTCCTACCCTTCTTCGCTCTCCAAAAAGGTCTGTGTATGCTGGAAATAGCGCAATGAACGAGTTTCATAATGCTTTTGTTATCCAGGATTGCTGAAGTCTTTTTTTGGTTTAGATTACACTCCTCAAGTACTTCAGGAATTACATGAGCGAGCACTTGCTGAAGGCTGGGGCAAACATAACACCCCGTGATGGGGATGAACTGACCCGGTTGCCTTACCTCCGCCACTGGTTCCGCACAAAGAGTGCAATCGTGCTACACCTGAGCAACGGAACTGTGCAGATCAACTTCTTCCAGGTGAGAAACTGGCATGTCTAAAATGGATGAAGTACTGCATCTGGGTACTTGTGATGTCAAACAAAATCCAGAAGTATCCAAACTGAAACCGTGAACTCACCATTTTCACTTTGTGCCCTCCAGGACCACACTAAGCTTATTTTGTGTACCCTGATGGGAGCAGTGACGTACATCAATGAGAAGCGAGAGTTCTACACCTATAAGATGACCCTAATCGAGGAGTTCGGATGCTGCAAAGAGTTGGCCAGCCGTTTGCGCTACGCTCGCAACATGGTGGAAAAGCTCATGGCCTGCAAAAGCACTGCCGCTACTGCTACTTCCACCCGCTAACCCACTGACATCACAAATTGTATAGCTTTGTGTTCACCACCAACTCTGCTCGAGTCTGAGGGCCCTTAAATATTCCAGCAGTAAAACTTGTACAGTTCTACGCTATGACTTCCTTTTCTGGATCTGTTATTTACTCTATCACTTGTTTTTTGGGGTTGGAGTTTGTGACCATGCCGGCTCTGTATCATGTGAATGCTCTTGTACATGTTTTAATGTTTTAGAACTTGTCTGTTTACCTTTTGACTGTTCTTTTGTATAAAAGCTTTTGAGGTTAATCTTTTAATGTGTAAGAGAATATTTGAAATAACTTGGTATTCCAAAATAAAGATCTTTTTAGAGAAACTGTGATTGTTAGATACTGTTAATGATAAATAGAAGTTTATAATTGAGTTAAATTAAAATGTGTCTTGAAAATGTGTTTGAGTCAACATGAAACTTTATGATCATTTAATCATTTCAATATTTCACTTTACTCATTTTAGTATTTTTGAAATGGTGTTTCATGTTGAGTTTCCCAAGGTAATATATATATAAGTTTGGGATTATTTATTATTATAATTAAAACATTTTAGTCAGGTTGCATTAAAGGGTTAGTTCACCCAAAAATGATAATTAGCCCATAAATTAGTCACCCTCAAGTCATTCTTGGTGTATATGACTTTCTTCTTTCAGACGAATCCAGTTGGAGTTCTATTAAAAATGGTCTTTGATCTTTCAAGCTGTGTAATGCCACTCTGGGTGTGGCATGCATCAGTCCAAAAGAAGTTAAATAAAAAGCGCCCATCCATTTTTAAAAAAGTGCCTCACACGGCTCTGGGGGATGAAAAAAGGCCTCCTGTAGCGAATCGATGCGTTTTGTAAGAAAAATATCCATATTCAAAATGTAATCACTTTAATGTAGCTTGCGCCAACAGTTGTACACAGAAGCTACTCCGGGCGGATGACGTATGAGTTCAGCGTTCCGCATGCACCGGTGAGTCTCCTGAAAACCAACATTTGTTAACGGGAGCAAAGAAAGCAAAGTTTCCTTACTTTAGCAAAGGAAAACCAGTCTCCTCTTGGCTTATATCGAAATCCTCCGACATTCTTCTTTACAAATCCTTGTTTTGTACTTCTAATTCGTAACCATTGTTTTGTTTTGATCTTTCCCCTGTGCTTCCGCGTTCGTCACTTCTGAGTGGCCGCCAATACATTTATAATATTACAAAAGATTTCTATTTAAAATAAATGCTGTGCTTTGGAATTTTTTATTCAAAGAATCTTGGGAAAAAAGCACATCCACGTTACCACAAATTTACTAAGCAGCATGACTGTTTCCAATATTTTTAATGTTTCTATTAGAATGATTTCTGAAGGATCATGTGATCCCGAAGACTAGAATAATGACAGATTTGCCGTTTACAGAAGTGAATTACATTTTAAAATATATTAAAATAGAAAAGTTATTTTAAATTGTAATATTTCACAATATTACTGTTTTTATTGTATTTTTTTAACTAATAAAAGCAGCCTGGGTGAGCAGAAGAGACAAAATCATTAAAAGTCTTAACAATCCCAAACATATTGCATGTTTTCTGAATTATAGGAATGACTTGATGTCACAAGCATATGTATCTTAAGCTTATGTTAAGACAGCATGTGCAAAAAAAAAAAAAAAAGAATAAATAAAAAAATTCAATAAAAATTTTAAATACAGTTTATTTAGGTTTTTTTTTTTTTGGTGCTCAAAACAAAAAGCAAGATTATATCACTGTCTGAAGGGTTTTGTAGACGCTGTTATAAAATGACACATAAAAGTACCATGGTACTACCATGTTTTTGCACATACATAATGGTAATAGCATGATATTTTTTGAAGTACCTTGTAATAAACACATAATGTCAATACCACCTGAAATGATAAGTATTTAGTTTAATGGAAATTCACAACAAACACGTCTGCAACAACATTAATCTGAATCAACTATAACAGTTTTTGGATCTGTGCCACAGTAACAAATAGTTGCAAAGATATTTTTGGCAAAACAATCAGTATACATTTAATTACCATTGGGTAGAAAAACTAAGGAACAAGTATTTCCACATTCAGTGAATTGAGTGAATTTCCAGTGGCAAAAATCCTCAATGCTTAATTTATAAAAAGTTTTTTTTTTTTTTTTTAACTAGCAGTACAAAACGAGTGTACAGCAGGCTGTAAAATACTTCAAGGAAACACAATATTAGTGTTTTGAAGCTGTAACACTGAGCGATGCTTTGGAATTTTTTATTAAAAGAATCTTGGGAAAAAAGCACATCCACGTTACCACAAATTTACTAAGTAGCATGACTGTTTCCAATATTTTTAATGTTTCTATTAGAATGATTTCTGAAGGATCATGTGATCCTGAAGACTAGAATAATGACAGATTTGCCGTTCACAGAAGTGAATTACATTTTAAAATATATTAAAATAGAAAAGTTATTTTAAATTGTAATATTTCACAATATTACTCTTTTATTGTATTTTTTAACTAATAAAAGCAGCCTTGGTGAGCAGAAGAGACAAAATCATTAAAAGTCTTAACAATCCCAAACATATTGCATGTTTTCTGAATTATAGGAATGACTTGATGTCACAAGCATATGTATCTTAAGCTTATGTTAAGACAGCATGTGCAAATAAGAATAAAAATAAATATTATAAATAATAGAATAAATAAAAAAATTCAATAAAAATTTTAAAGTACAGTTTATTTCGTTTTTTTTTTTTGGTGCTCAAAACAAAAAGCAAGATTATATCACTGTCTGAAGGGTTTTGTAGACACTGTTATAAAATGGCACATAAAAGTACCATGGTACTACCATGTTTTTGCACATACACAATGGTAATAGCATAATATTTTTTGAAGTACCTTGTAATAAACACATAATGTCAATACCACCTGAAATGATAAGTATTTAGTTTAATGGAAATTCACAACAAACACGTCTGCAACAACATTAATCTGAATCAAGTATAACAGTTTTTGGATCTGTGCCACAGTAACAAATAGTTGCAAAGATATTTTTGGCAAAACAATCAGTATACATTTAATTACCATTGGGTAGAAAAACTAAGGAACAAGTATTTCCACATTCAGTGAATTGAGTGAATTTCCAGTAGCAAAAATCCTCAATGCTTAATTTATAAAAAGTTTTTTTTTTAACTAGCAGTACAAAACTAGTGTACAGCAGGCTGTAAAATACTTCAAGGAAACACAATATTAGTGTTTTGAAGCTGTAACACTGAGCGATGGGGATGAAGCTGCAATGTGTGATGGACTGTAAAAGATCCATAAATGTAGCACAAAGCTGCGATTCAAACCACACAAAGCAAAATCAAAAGAAAAAAATCCCAATCCCAGTCACACAAATACATATACATGTACACTTGGTGTACAAATTGACTAATATAATAAATTAGCATTTTTCGTTTTTAGTCCACTAATTATCAAAGATCTTCATATTTCTGCAAATATCAATGGATGTAATGCTGGCTTTTATCATTATTTTAAGCTTGTAACTAAGCTTGCAATTGTGTGGGGACCCTCAGTCCAGGGAGGCCCCCATGGAACGAGATTTCTACCGAAGGGGGGGGCCCCCGGGACCACTCTCAGTGTTTTTTTTCTCAGTCATAATCTCACATAAAGCTACTGAATGGCTTCAGAACACCTGGAACATCCCACACAAGATAGACCACATTTATGATATTTATAGAGAATTTTTCACCCCTTTTAGAAACTTAAAAGCTTCTGCCCCAATCATTGTAACCGAATTTAAAAATGCACCGTCTTCAATACTTTCTCCTTTTGTATTCCATGGATGAAAGTAAGTCATGAGTTTGGAACAACATGCGTGTGAATATACAGTTTGATGACAGAATTTTGCGGTGAACTATCCTTTAAGAATGTCCTTAATATGAAAATACTTTACTTTAATACCATTTAAATTCTACCTATTAAGAATATAAGTAGTTGGACGGCAATTCAGTAATCTTCTGTGTTAAAAGTCAGAATTAAAATAAAACTGACAGAAATGGTAGAACATTTGTCAATCTATTGGCTGATGTTAACTCATCAGAAAATATGGTCTTTTTATTTCTTTGCTCTTTGGTTCACATCATAAAGCCAGCAGCGACAATGGCAGCTCTGAAAAAGCCCATATTACACTCAGTAACTCATTTGGTTAATCTGACCTACAAAACCCGTTTCTGTAAAAGCATAGGCATAAAAAACCTGGGTAAATTTCGCTCAGCAAGTCCAGTAGGTTGTTTAGGTAAAATTTGTCAGTAGTGCTCTACAACGAAATGTGCTCACAGTTCTGAAGTGCAGAATTCTACATCAACAGTGTTTAGTTGAGTCCTCAAGGATCTTACTTTTCCTCTCCAGTCCAGTGCAGGAACAAACAAGCATGTCTCTATGGATGGTGGTAGTATGGGTGAAAGAGTCTCTCGGGGGCACAGATGCTAAGCGCTGAATGCGTGTGAAGCAGTAACCGGGGGAAACGGGAGGTAAAATATGCCACGAAGCCATCAGGGACTTCACCGAGAGCTGTCTGAACCTCTGGTGGGAGCTCATGATAATGATGCTTCTGTTAAAAACATTAGAAGACAGGTTAGGCAGTATATTATAATATATTATGTTATGTTATATTATATTTTATTTTATATTACATTTTAAAATATATCAAAACAGAAAACAGTTATTTTACATTGTAATATCATTACAAAATTTTACTGTTTTTAATATATATATTTTTTAATCTTTCAAAAACGTTTTAAAAATCTTACAGACCCCTTTTGAATGATAGTGTATTTTATATTATCCTATCAGCACAATATTAATAGTTTTTTGTGTGATTAGTGACTTTTGTATGCATATGTAAAAACACATTAAATTCTAAACACTTACTTTATTTCTCAGTGCTCTAAGTAGGTCTCTCACAGAGTTTCCTTTATATGTACGAAACTTTCTAAGATCTGCCAGATGGAAAAAGATTTATATTAGGCATGCAAATATAAACATGAATTGAAAATGTTTTCATTTCATATACATTAAAACATTCCACATTGTATTCAATATTTCTGTCAAAGAAAGATTTTATTGCAATTATTTGTAATGGTAACGTACAGTAGTAGCAGTGCTTACCAGCCTGCAGTGGTGCTGATATGTGCATCCTCCAGTTGGTTTTTACGACAGATCTGCCGGAGTTCTCCAGACGGGCCACTATAGCACTGTCTGCTGGCTCCTTCTCTATTCTGTCACTGACATCCTAGAGCCAAAAGAACAAATTCAGCATTGCACTTTCTCACTATACACAATGAACACACACACACAAAAACACACACCTGAAAGAACTGCAGCTGTTTCTCTGGGCTCCAGAAGAAGGGATGTTTGAGGATGGACACTGCTGAAGGACGCGTCTCTGGTTCAGCACTGATCATCCGCTCAATCAGATCTCTGCCGATCACATCCTCTGCAAACACCAAAACAGCCATAAAACATTAATAAGCTATTCAAATATGATTAGACAGCATAGACAGCAGCGGAACTACCACATGTCACATGGACTATTTTATCGATGCCCTTACTACCTTTCTGGGCCTTGTATGTGATAGCTGTGTTGCTGTCCATGCAGGATCAGAAAGCTCTCAGATTTCATCAAATATATCTTCATTTGTGTTCTGAAGCTGAACGAAGGTTTTACGGGTTTGGAACGACATGAGGGTGAGTAATTAATGACAGAATTTTCATTTTTGGGTGTACTATCCCTTTAAAGGCACAATATGTAAGATTTCTTTATTAAAATATCCAAAAACCAAATTTTTTCCCCACATACGCATGACCAGAAGGAGCGGAAGCAGTCGACTGTGGCATAATAAAAGCTCTGCTGCTTTCGAGCCGTGTGTCGCGCTCGTTCAGCGGCCTCGTTTCGCTTCGACGGCTTTCAGCCTCACCCTGCTTCATTCTACTATGTTAATAAATCATTAGCTCATCCATGAATATGATTTCTGCCCGAGTCCCGTCGGATTGCATCGGCTGTGGGGGATGAAGACGACAACTCCCATGATTCCACACTCAGTCACGGTGTCATCAGACTACACCTTTGTTTCTTTATTTATTTTGAATACGTGCCCTCTAGTGGCGAAAATTACATATTGTGCCTTTAAGTCAGTGATAACAGTGTCTAAACAAAACCGGACACTTCTTAAACAGAAAGTACACATCCATATACTTAAAATTCATGCATGCACAAACCATGTATATCCTCCATAAAGTGGTCAAGGTTATAGATTCCAGAGAGGATATTAGCTTGACGCCGCAGAGTGTCACCAAACGGATGCTGTCCTTTGGACGTCACATAATAAAACACACATCC